CACACTTCTGGAGACAAAGACCTGAAGTACAAAACCTTCTTTTGGGTCATACTAGGTGTTTACCATTAAGGGTTCTGAATAACTTCCCTTGCCTGCCTTGAGGTAGGTGCAACTACCTAGCTGAGTAGACACCTACCTTGAGGTAGTACTGCCTCAGGCAAATACTCATGCTTGCAAGTATTCAGTCAGGACTATAAAGTGATGTCCTGGTTTTGGCTGGGATAGTTAATTTTCTTTCTAGTAGCTGATACTACACACCATGTTTTAGTTGTTGCTAAGTAATGCTTACTCTGATCAAGGACTTTCTCAGTCTCATGCTCTGCCAGGGAGGAGGGGTAGCTGGGAGGAAGCAGAGACAGGACACCTGACCCAAACTATCCAAAGGGGTATTCCATACCACAGCAAGTCATGCCCAGGATGTAGAACTGGGGGAAGTCATCCAGAAGACCCAGACTGCTGCTTGGGTCGGGCTGGGTATTGGCCTGCAGGTGGTGAGAAATTGTATTCTCTCCCCTTATTATTTCCCTTATCATTATTATTATTATTGGTAGCAGTAGTAGTTTTGTATTATACCTTAGTTACGGAACCGTTCTTATCTAAACCTGTGGGATTTACATTCTTTTGATTCTCTTCCCCATCCCTCCAGGAGTGGGGGGAGGAAGAAGGGAGGGGGAGTGAGTTGTGTGGTTCTGAGTTATTGGCTGGGCTTAAATTGTGACACACCTATTACTTATTCTCCTCAAATTTAACTTGACTGCAGGAAGCCTGCAATCAGTATCACTGTCTCCAGGAGCTTAATTTGGATGGTAAAATGCCCCTGTAGTTGATTATTGAATGGGACTTGATGCTGGTAAGCCTGGGAGGTCAGTTTGGGTGAGCACTTAAAAGTCTAGACATCCCCCATCTCTCAGGTTTTTAAAATAGAACTTGAGGTCTCCTGGAAAATCCATTTCCTCCCCAGATTTCTAGGTCTGCACATTGCCAGCTAAGGCAGAAGAGCTGCTGGAGGAAAAATATTCATTGCCATGCTTTCAATGTTTCTGTTTACAGGTAGTCTGAAGAGTGGAGATGGGGAGGTTTCTAAAAGAGGTTACACATTCAGAAGCCTGAAGTGAGGTTTCCTAATTAGTCAAAGCACAGTTAGCCTGCCCAAATGAGGAAGACAGGTATAATGTCCCTGCAACCAAGTCATTTAACAACCCTGGAGGAGAGTAAGGAGATACCTAAAACAATGACCCAGGTAATTCTGCCTGGCATTTGAGCACAGGGTTCTTTGTTGCTATCTGTGGGTCTCATGACATCATCTGCAGGCTCTTAACATAACAGGTGGCCATTATTAGAAAGTGAGCTTTTAAGGTGAATTTGGTATGAACTCACCTGACAATGGTGTAATGCAATGATTTCATTAATTTGTTGCTTGTTTCTACTGACCTGGAAGCACATGGCTAAGCAGGGATGAATGTTTGGGCATTGTGACCCAGATGTCTGAGTCTGAGTCTGAGATCCACAACCAAACTTTGGAGCAGAAACCTGGCTTTTTATTCGCCCTTCATAAAATATTACCCAATGACTCAAAACCTGAAAGACCTTTCCCAACTCAGAGCCATGAATTTTATTTCAGCTCCCATTCAAGGTAGGGTCTCAAGCAGGTTGGTTCATTGTGCCAGTGCCTGTGGTCTCTTCCCTACACTCTTGGTGGCTACTGTCTCATCCTGCTGCCCTGCTTCCTGAGCTAGATGCTGCTGCTAGAAGCCTTCTCTTTTCTACCAGCAGTAAGAGAGGTTAAAAGCTTGTGGGTACAGGCCAGCACAGACTGTCCATTGTATATGCATGCATACTAGAGCAGTAACTCCCTGGAATGCTGCACCACAGAGCTTTTACCACCTCATGTTTGTCTTGCAGCCTAGGAGTGTGTGTACAATGCATCCTGGGTTCAGCAGGAGCAGTCATTTTTCTCCTTCTTAGTAGCTGGTGCAATGCTGTGCTTTTGATTCTCAGCCTGGAAACAGTGCTGATAACAACATTTTTAGTTGCTGCTAAATAATGCTTACTCTGACCAAGGACTTCTTGAGTCTCATGCTCTGCCAGGGAGGAGGAGAAGCCAGGAGGAAGCAGAAACAGGACACCTGACCCAAACTAGCCAAATTCCATATCACAGCAAGTAATGCCCAGTATGTAAACTGTGGGTAGGGGGAGGAAGAAGGATGGTGGGAAGGGAGCGAGCAGCTGCGTGGTTCTGAGTTACCAGCTGGGCTTAAACCATGACACTCTCCAAGGAGATTAACAATGCAAAATGGTAGATAAATAGGACCATTTTTTTTATTTGACCAGTTGGAAGAGAAAGGTAACCCTTACTCCTATCATCTCCATAGGCACAAAGGAGAGGCAAGGCCCAAGGTTGGTCAATTATGTGGAGCAGTTCCTTGCAACTGGGTGGCTTTAATGTACTAATTGTGTTAGCAATTAGCAGCTACCCCATGGTAAACACTTGGGTTCAAAACTATGTAAGGACATTAATTCATCCACCCTATAATGGGTTTGGGTGAGGTAAGCTTAATCCTTGTTTTATAGGTGGTGAAAGGGAGAGATTTGCTGATCACAGGGTGAGTCAAGGTAGGCATGCAGGTGATCTTAGGTCTGTTAGTTCTTCAAGATCACCTTAAGTGAGACCACTGGCAACAGCTATAGGAAATGAATCTTTTCTCTATTGTCAGAAGTTGTGCAAATTAAGCATAAGTGTTTTTTATGATGTACTTCTATCTACTATGAGATACAGAAATCATCTCTAAGGCCAAATGGCAGTTCAGGCTCTATGATGGTTCTCCCCCCTTTTCTTTTTGTTTGTTTTGTTTCTGGTTGTGCTGTGCTGTCAGCTTGTGCTATTTATGAGATCTTTATTTGAATTTGTGTCTGCTGGGGCCTGGGTGGAGGTCACCCAGTGATTTCATGGAGCTTTAAAATGCTTAGGACTTTATTAATGGCCCTATGTGCTAGGATAAGGCCATACTCCAGTGGACATGTGGATATATAACTAATAAAAAGTGCTTATTATTCATTCTTCTTGAATTTTAAGTTCATGCAAGATATTTTTAAAAAGCAGCAAGAAGCCAGTGGTATAAGGTTATGTGCTTTTTCTTGGTAAGCTGTGCTTTAAAGAGGTCTATGGTGGTAATGCTGTTGTGTAGCAGAGCTAATCTAGCAGGGAGCTACAGCTGAAAGAGTAGGTCTGAACCCCCAGCACTTACTCCTGATAGTGCCTTCTTGTTTTCTTTGTCTGCCAGAAGTGATACTCCTCTGACTCACCAGGGAGTTGTTTCTGCTGAAGTAGCAGAAAAGATCTTTTCTTCTCTCTGAGGTACTGCTCTACTAATTTTGTCTTGCCATGTGGCTATACGTGGGATTTTAGGGAGCATGTATGAAAGTGTTAGCGTAAGAACTGACACATAACCACCGGAATGGTTATATGAGGTGCTTTATTGAAGCACTGGGAAACCAGGGGCACGCGCCCAAATCTGGCTTCAACCCCGTTACATCGCGCTCGCAATTTATACACTAAAAATGTCGTCACTAATACATATTCAACACAGATTATATCACTGACTAATACTTATGCATTAAGGATCGCCACATCAGTCTATTACGACATCAGCCTCTTTTGCGCTTGCACAGCCCCCCCCCTCTGGTGGTCGTCCTGATGAAGTAAGGAGTCTTCCTCGGATGAAGTAAGAACTCTTCCTCAGGTTGTCCTGTTCACTTTTCTGTTCCTTGGACATGTCCCAATCATTATCTGGACGCCAGCATTCTCTTATTTTCACTTGACTACTCCTGGTACCTTCGTGAGTTCTGCTTCGGTAGAGTTTCACAATACTCCCCTAAATCCACCCATATACAGTTCCCCATATATGGCTATGTTAATTGCTTATCATTATAGCTACCATTGTAATATTTAGTTATAAAGTAACTAAGATACACAATAGCAGAATTTCAACTTGTTCTTAATACAAAAGAAACCCTCTACTGATTAACAGATTTTCAAATATAATCATCTTTTCTCTTTGTACTATTGTTTCAACACACAATTTCACCTATTACTAACAAAAGCACCTCAACACCTTTAAAACACAGTGTTATTTTTTAACCAAATGTTTAGTATTTGGTTTTCTTTGTCTAATGACATAGAATGGTGATACATCTTTTGCCTCAGTTGAACATTCAGCAGCTTCTCCCATTAACTTTGGCTGAGACTTTGTAAGGTCCTGAATATGTTTCCATCTCAAAGGGTTCAATCTATGATCTTTTAAAGAAAGCTGACATTTGAAAGGATGAGAGCACAGTCTGCTTCAGTCAGCCCTTGCCAAAGAGCAGTAGTACCCAAGGGCATGAAGAACTCTGGAAAGCACTGAGGTTTAGCTTTCTTCCATTGCTTTCAATACTCAGGTCTCTAATACGCCCTACAAGAGACCCAGGTGGAGACTCCTGCAGTTCCAGCATCCCAGGGAGCATCTCGGGCTTGAATCTCTGCTGCCTGATTCATAGGGCAATACCATGTTTTCTGTACTCTGATGACTGTGTTAATGTTTAACCTGAGGCAAGTGTCTGCTTCTATTTTTTTATTATTTTTTTTCTCCCTCTAAAAAACCCTGACAGCAAGTACTTTGAAGTAACAAGGGGGTTCATGGCTATAGAGAGCTTGTTGCCCCCTCATATATTTCCACAAGTCTTGAGTGGAAGGCTTTTATATTTATATACCATTATTTGGGTTTTTTGGATATCCATTTTTGTCAATTTAGCAATACATGTGGCTCTTGTTCATTGCTTTGCGGTACTAGATCCAGCCCTCAGAAATGCTGGCCAGCCTTGCCTCTCATTTTGCTTCAAGAAAGGCCCTTGAGATGCTGCAGGGGAAGCCCAAGTGTGCTCTGTTTTAGTCATTTCCACACTCATGTTTGATATGTGTGTGCATGCTAACTTCCTTTTTTTCTTCTACTTTATTTTGACAGTGGAAAATTTGGTCTCTTCTGAGAAACTTGCAGCTTCTGGACATTGAATTTGGTGGACAGTTACCATTTGTTCCCTGGGATTGTACCTGCTCTTGCTCTCCTCATCCCCTCCCACACTCCCCTTCCCTCTGATAAAACTCCAGGGCATTGCAGTATTGCTATGGAGCCCAGGGAGACTTTGGGCAGCTCCTGGCAAAGGGGAGGTGTAGCAGACTTTCTGCCAACTGCTGTGGTCTCTGTGAAGCCTCCACTTACCGCCAGCTGTGTAGAGGAGATGATGCTGCCTGCGGCGGGCTCGGGGAAAGGGATTCTGGTAAGCAGTGAGAGGCTGGAGCCCAAGGAAGAGGATGGTTCTGGGAGAGATATGGATTCCAGTTCCAATGCAGACAGTGAGAAATGGGTGGCGGGAGATGGCCTAGAGGAGCAGGAATTTTCCATCAAGGAAGCTAACTTCACGGAGGGGAGTTTAAAACTAAAGATCCAGACCACTAAGAGAGCTAAGAAGCCCCCAAAGAACTTGGAGAACTATATTTGCCCTCCTGAGATCAAAATCACCATCAAGCAATCTGGGAAAAATAGCAAAACAGCTAAAGAGGAGGACAGATCCCACTCAAGAAAGAAGGTAAGTCCTATTCTTTCCTATTCTATCCCTTTCTGCTGAAAGCAGAGGGAGAGGGTAGGATTAAACCTGCTCAGTTTGTGTCTGAGCAGAGGAGAGCAGCTGAGGCAGGAGAAGAAAAGCAAAGGCTCTGTGGGCAATTAGGTACCTGCCTCAGGATGCCGCTGGCCACATGGAGGAGAGCTGAGATGACAGAGGACTTCCTTCTTTTTTTTTTTTTATTTTTTTTTTCCTTTAATGTGTTAATTCTCATCATCTTTCAGATGTGGAAGTGCAAATCCCAGCTGCTGGTAAACAAATTCTTCAAGGAGCATGGTCAGGGATTTGCATCCTCTCTGCTCCCCCCCCCCAAATTGCAATGGAGTCTGACATAAGTTATTCACCCCAACACCCCTTTCATTCTCCCTTCCCTGCCAGCCCATCCCGTGGTCAGCCTTTGGCTGTAAAGATTTGAAGGTAAAGGCCAGTGCATCAGCCTAGGAAAGGGCCAAACCTTAAATGAGTGGGGCTAGCAGCATCCAAAAGGCTATGACTGAAATATATGCTGAATGCTGACAGGCAGCAGAATAGAGGTAGACAAGGGCCAAATTCCTGTTTTCTCCTCTAATTGAGAAAATAGTTTTAGTGGTATTCAGGCAGGCTGCAAATCATAACTCTGAGAATGTCATCTAGCTGGGGAGGGGAAGGAGGGGAGGACCTAAGTGGAAGCTCCAATCCCACTAAACCTGTTTCCGCAAACTTTGCACTTACACTCCTGAAAATCCCTGGAGCCTGGTGCTTACATTTTGCTTGTTCATTTTTCCCATGCAATTGCCACATAAAAATATCCCCCCTCTGAACTCAAAATGTCTCCCAAGCAGAATTTGCCCCATTCCTGATGTTTTTGTGGCCACAGAAGTCTTGCTTTGCAAGTCTAGCTTCTTGCATGAAGGTACTATCATGTAAAATCTGGGTGTTGTGAGGATACAGCTATCATCTGCTGGTCAGGAGGTGAATGAGCTGTTTCAGCAGATAGTGTGGATGAGATTTGATAGTGTGTCAGTAAAACATGACAACTACTCAACCCTCAAGTATGTCTGCTTGTAGTGTGGAGAATACTCAGCTGTGTTACAAGCCTGACTGATGCAGGATGCCTGTGTGCTCAGGCAGGGCTGTTACAGTCACTGTGAAAGCAAAGGGAGAGAAATTGTGTTTGTCTGGTGCATCAGAGGTCAGCTGCGCTGTGTCCTGCCTTGGCCCAGTCCTCTAGCATCCCTTGCTTGCTCTTGGATGTGGGTCGAAGGCTCCAGTGCACTTGGGAGAAGGAAATCCCAGCCTGATGTGACCAAAAGCAGTTAGTTGATCTTTCACACTCTGTTATCTTCCTCCAAGGGGTGATTTAATCCTGGATATCCCCTCTGCCTTAAGCTTTCTGCCTCCCTTTTCCCCAAATACTCCTGCTAAAGCTGATAATGTACTGGGAAGGTTTCAATTAACATAATTTCCTTCTTACTTAGAAATCCCTGGTTAAATAAGGAGCTGAGGGAGAAGGGGAAGAAAGACATAAAGAGAAGCAGTTCCTTGAGCCAAAAAACAGCATGAGGGTCAGCAGAGTTTCTTTTGCTTCTATATGCTTATGTCATAAAACTTGGAGACTGGCTTATAAAATGTTTTCTGGAGAATGTCATAGCTGCGTAACCTTAAATCTTAACCTAACAATAGCGTGTGTGCCTTTAACATAGTAGAATAAGCCAAACTGCTCTAACTTACTAACGAGTAGAGAGAAAGGAATGTTTGGCTGATGGGGGAAGGAACATAACGGGACTGATAACTAAGGAGACAGTAAATAAGACCAAGGATACCAGCCTTCAAGATAGCAGAGTGGTGCCCAACATGGAGTGAGACTGGAACAGAACAGAAGCAAGAACATACCAACTGCTAACTCGGCACTAGGACCTTGCAAGTGTGCACAAACACTGAGGTCATTCAGTAAACACAGTGAGGAAGACTGTCGAGGACCACCAAAGGCCTCCACTCAGCAAGAAAGTACATGTGTAATTAGGATGCAAATATAACTTTTTTCCTGGAAAAGCTATGAATATGCATGTGTATGCTAAATAAATAGCCACTGTTGGCAAATATTGGGCATGCTCACCTTTGCGAAATGATTTGTGTGTGTGCACCCAGTGCTGCAGTAAAGAATGCCTTCTTTCTAAAACTCCAAATTGAGTCTTAGAGAGTTTCTCCAACTGACTTCTGTGGTAACAATTTGGTGCCCAAACAGGGACAACCTGCCATGTTTTCCGTGGATCTGGGGAGTCTCTGGGACCTTCATGCTGGCAATCAGGGGAGTTTCCCTGAAAGGAACCACAGCTACCCAGACCGACTCGGGACCTCGGTAAGACCCTGATTTTATTTATTTGAAAAGGCATTCTTTCTGGTTCCTTTCCACGTAAGGCACAGGGGATGCTTTGCACAGTGGGTAAAAGGTAGTTTGGTTTTGGTCAACCAGACTTTGGTATTTGGTGGAGGTCAGGATCATGGGTGCCACTGCCTCCAAAGGGGGGATCCTGAAAAAGTCCCCACTGGGTTGCATTTTGCAACAGTCTGGAATCTGGGTGGAGGTCAGGACCACTGCCTCCATAGGGGGTTTTGAAGAAATCCCCATTGGGTTGCATTTTGCAACACTGGATACAAATCAGTGAACCCCTGAGTGGCTTGGTCACCTGGGAGATTTTCAAACAAAGTGGTGGACCCCTGGGTGGTTCAGTTACTCGGGACACTCTGGTAAAACACTGTAATCAATGGTGGTTGTTATCCTTGAGATGAAAAGGAAAGTGGAATGAAGTAGCTTATGAGGAAATGTTTTTCACTTTGAGATTTCGTCTGGAATGGCAAAAGGATTGTAGTTTTAATTTTGCACCCCAGGACCTGTTAGTATTGTCCTTGGAGAAAAATTTGCTTAAACGCTGTTGCTCTTTGTGCAGCATAGGATAGTTATGCACTAAGCATTTGATGAATGCAGAGGAGGATTTGGATTTGATGGTAGCCCCCTGGAGAAAGGGGTATTGTGAATAATGGGGCTGAAGGTTCTGACAATGAGAATCAAGCACAAGCCCTGGAGATATTAGAGGGGGCTGAAGGATTTTGCCCTACAGCAGGGCAAACTAGGGGAAAACAAGGGGAAACTGTCACTGCACCTTTAAGACAAGCTGTGGGCAATGATGGTCTGGTCATGATAAAGATTCCCTTTACCATTATAGATTAGAATATTTGGAAACAAGTGGTGGGTAATTATGCATCATGCTTTTGAGAATGTTGACAGGAATACGATTATTTGTACAGCTCGGACCACAGTAGAGCAACAAATAAGAGCAGGCACACTGGCAGGTATAGTGAATCTTCAGGTACCTAACCGTGATCCTAACTGGGACCCTAATCAGGACCAGGGCAGTGTCATGGTTTAAGCCCAAACGTATCTCAGAAAACCATGCAGTCTCTCTCTCACTCCCCCCCCCTTCCTATCCCCACTCCCGGAGGGATGGGGAGGAGAATTGAAAGGATGTAACTCCCACGGGTTGAGATAAGAACAGTTCAGTAACTAAGGTATAACACAAACCACTACTGCTGCCACCAATAATAATAATGATAAGGGAAATAACAAGGGAAGAAAACACATCCGCTCACCAGCCACGGACTGATACCCAGTCCAACCTAGCAGTGATTTAGCCCTTCCAGGTAACTGCCCCCAGTTCTACATCCTGGGCATGGCGTGCTGTGGTATGGAATACCTCTTTGGCTAGTTTGGGTCAGGTGTCCTGTCTCTGCTTCTTCCCAGCTTCCCCTCCTCCCTGGCAGAGCATGAGACTCACAAAGTCCTTGGTCAGACTAAACATTACTTAGCAACAACTAAAAACACTGGTGTTATCAGCGCTGTTCCCAGGCAGAAAGTCAAAACACAATGCTGCACCAGCTACTAAGAAGGAGACAAATGACTGCTACTGCTGAACCCAGGATGGTATCCACCCCTTATGCCATACCATTCATGTCATGCTCAGATTCCACATTTTTGATATCGCATCACTCTTACATATATACATCCACACACCCACAAAGAGAGAATCATTCCTTAGCGCAAGGACCAATCCCTATAAAGCTGCTGAGTCCATCCGGTCCATGATGTCAGTCTCCATCTCTTGTAACAGTCTTTCAGAGCAGGAGAGAGAGTGTGATGTAGTCAATCTGCCAGGCCTCCCAATATTTGTAGTTCAGCCGTCGTCCTCCATACCATAGAGACTTTAACTGCTTGGCTTGCTTAATTGCAGCACGTTTCAAACTCGTGAATAACCTGAGCAATAGCGTCCATTACTAAGTCCACCCCTCGATCATGAGTCCATCTGTATGTTGCATCTCTGCCCTATTGGCCTGAAGTGTCATGAGCCCACCAAGCTCAAAATAATTCACCCTCCCCTTCAACAGTTTCTGCAACTTGTCTTTGGGGACTCCATACAGGTGCCTTCCATCTCTGATGCTTCCAAAGCACTGGAGGGCCCAGTGGGCTAGATATTTGCCCATACTGTCCCACACACCCTGCCACTCATGACTGTCCAACCTTGGGGAAAATCTCTTGGTCCTCCTATATTGTCGTCTAACCCTAGAGAAGACCCAAATCTGACTCTGCTTAACTTTTGAGATCAGATGAAATGGTTGTGGGTAAAACACATTCTGTATGTGTGCCAACATGGTGATCCCCATCACAATCAGCAGGCAGGTCTCAAGGATACCCAAAGGCCATTGTCCTGGGTTCAGCAGTAGCAGTCATGTTTTTCCTTTGTGCTAGCTGGTGCAGTGCTGTGTTTTGACTTCTAGCTTGAGAACAGTGTTGGTGAAGCCGATGTTTTCGGTTGTTGCTAAGTGATGTTTACCCTGACCAAGGACTCTGTGAGGCTCATGCTCTGCCAGGGAGGAGAGGAAGCTGTGAGGAAGCAGAGACGGGGCGCCTGACCCGGGCTAGCCGGGGAGGT